ATAATTGGTTTCGTGTTTAGATAGGTATCGCATTGCGAGTAATTGCGGGTACTTTATTTTATTTAATAAAGATGGGTGGAATTAAATACAGAGGTGACAGAAGGCAATGAAATAGGAGAACTCAATATTATTAAAAAAAAGCAGCGGGTAACAAACCGCTTTGCAAGCGTGGCAACTACGGAAAATATGCCTTCTATGAGGCAGTCTATGGGGGGGGGGGGGCCTATATTCAGTATTTGATTTTTGATACGGTACTGTACTGTACTAGTATGTTATATTAAGCTATTCCGATATTGACTGAGGCAACAAGGGGAGTAATGTGAAACTGAGGAGATACGACAAAAGGGTTCTTTTTAGCGGTAAAAACGCAAAATTGTGACTTTCGGGAATTGAACCGGACTAGATTTAGTCTGCCCCAATCCGAGACTTTGTTCAACAAAGTCTCGACTTCAAACACAAGCTTGTCCCGGTACTCGGCGACGTTTTCGCGAGAATTATTGGCACGGCCGGTGTATAAAGCATCACCAGTGCTGTCGTTTGCATAGCAATGAATATTACCAGTTTGCAGCATATCATTGATATGCAGAAGAAACAGCGTTGGTGATAGCATGCAGCCTTATGAAACACCAGCGTTAATGTTCTTGTAATCGAAACATGCACCGTCTACTACGACCTTGATGCTTCAATCTGCAAGAAAACTGATGATCCAATTGCACAATTTCTCGGGAAGGCCATAGGAAGTAGTCTTCAAAAGAAGCGCTTTGTACCAAACCCGATCGAAGGCTTTCGCTATGTCCAAACTAACGGCCAACAGCTCCCCCTTGGACTCCACTGCCTCTACCCATCTATAAGTTAGGTAACCTAGGAAATCACCAGCCGAGCGACCTTAACGGAAACCTTACTGGCGGTCACTAATCAGCTGTTGATCCTCAAGGTACCGCATGAGCTGGCAGTTAATAATAGTTTCCATTACTTCGGAGAACAAGGATGTGATAGTGATAGGCCTGTAGTTGGACGGATATGAGCGGTTGCCTTTTTTAGAGATCGGGTGCACCAAAGCTGTCTTCCATGAGTTCGGGACTACGCCTAGGGACTAGGAATACCGGAAAAGTACGTGTTAAAACCGGTGCCAACTCTGGAGCACACGTGTTCAACTCCATCAGGCCCACTCGACTTGTTGACGGTCAGGGAAAGGAGGATTTTCCGCACCAAGCGCTGTGTAAATAGCACTTCCTGCATGGAGCACTCACACCGCGGGATGGTCGGCGGTGCGTTCCCCCATCATCGAAATTCAAGTTGGAAGCAAAATGAGAGCTTAGCAGATCGGCTTTCTCCTTTGCGTCATGGGCCGGTGAGTCGTCCACCCTGTGCAGAGACGGCAGAGATGGCTAGCAGTAGCACAGTAGCACTCCTGCTTATAGCGTGATGTAATTTTACAGGAGCGACCAAACCATGGCTGAGTTCTGCCATACAGATGATGGAATAAATAATTCCATTCCCTGAAGTACCACATCAGCAACAATGTTGGGATCATCCGGCGAGAAGCAAACCCGCCCCCAAGGGTAGGATTCTTTTTTTTTTAAACGTACACCCACACTAGGATTTTCTCCTGTGTCGTGGAGGCAGTTTACAAACATGAATTGCACGAGGACAAACATCCACCCCCGGAACAATTATTTGTAAGCCATACAAATACTTGTTCCTTGCGGGATTCTAGCTTGTGGCCCACAGCGCAACAACTCATTGCTAAGCCACTGCGCCACGAAGCCGTCAAATGACGAATGCCGGAATGATGAATGCCGGATGCAAAAAAAGACCGCATCCCGTCCCAATCGCCCGATCTATAGTGCCAAACACGGCGACAAGCTGCAGATCGCAACTGCGATGGGAGCGTGAGCACCATACTACGGATCAGACAATGGTCTGAAGAGCCAAAAGGGGCATTGACGGAGATCTGATATCCGTCGTGTCTACGCGCAGCTATAGGATCGACAGATCCGTACCTTCAATACTGCCGAGGCGTCGAAAACAGATGTCCTCTCTGTCGTAAACGCAAACTCCAGCCCGGGGCACAAAGGAGTGTTCTAATTTGTACCCCGGGTAGTAGAGATACGAAATATCAGCCGGAGAGGATGGCTGTGTATCGGTTAGAAAGAGCAATATCGGCTTTGTCATCTCCAGATGGTAGTGGACGGCGTTAAGGTTTGAATGAAGTCCCCTGATATTGCAGAAATTCACGGAAAGTGTGGCAGGGCTTGCCTTTATCTTGCTCCGCTTGCCCCGAGCTGGTTTTGGTCCTGAACTTACTCGGAATAATCCCCCCCCCCCCCCAGAATACCGCGTAGCGGAGCCTGAGCATCCACGCTCAGAAAACTTAGGGTAGCTTGGGCGTGGATGCTCAGCGAGGGATTCTCCGTCACCAGGGGGACCCTCCTGGGGTAGTTTTCTATTTAACTCCGCTACCATGTTAAGGGGGAGGGGGGGGGCAATCACCAGGCGAAATGCAGAAGTAAACTTCTACTTCTACAGATCCCTTGATTTCATTTTATATATCAACTCTTTTAGTGGCGAAGCCGATAACCCTTAAACAAATCACAACTGTATAGGTCTAACAGCTTCGGAGTTATGGGGGGGTCGAAATAGTTCATATAAATATACCCACTGCTGATGCGTCCATTTAATTTCCGAACATGGCTGACACCATAGACTTAGAACGGCAGTACATTCTAAGTCTATGGCTGACACAATGCCATGTGTGTTGTGTATATTTCGAAGACGTAGTTGAGACAGTCCACAGAAACGCAACGTATTCGATGCAGTGCGGCGCACGCTTCCTCGCTTCTCAGAACTGAGAGGCAAAAAAGTCTGTGCCCATTAGGTGGGCCGTGCATGGCTGTTTTCTTTACTTTTTACTATACATATAAACATTTTGGAATATCAGTTACGTTACGTTAATGAACCCACTTTGCGAATTTTCTCTTCGATGTAAATCTTATACTTTCGCGTAGATCACATCCCATATAAAAGTTAAGTCGATTAATCTTTTAATAATTATTTTATAATAGAAATTAAAGAATAACATTACTACTTTATGTGTTTTGATGACCCTAGAAGCTTCAAGGACACACTCTGACACCACTGAAATTTTTAATTGCTTACTTACCACCATAGAATTTAAGTAATAATTCTATGCTTACCACCGTCTTGGTAATAAATAAACCTAGCAAGCTAACAGCATAGCAAAGTGGCGAAGCAATCAGCTTTGTAGCGGTTTCTAACGGTTGCCTTTGAGCAATCAGTTTCAAAATAGGAGGTTCAGACGCCTGGGTGATCAGTTATCGATTGCTGAAAACAGAATTTGAAAATTCGAAACCGTTCTCGAGATAATCGTGGGACAGACGGACAGACGGACAGGCATCGTGAAATCAATAAGTGACTTCACAAGCTTCGCCACTTAACAAGAACAACGAGGAAACCTGTATAGGGGACTAATAGAGAACGTCTCTTTCTTATTTTCTTTACTCGTATAACATCAAGATTGTACGAGTATTATTGTCAAATTAAAGACAAACTAATATACTAATTTATTTTGATACTATATTTGAACTTTTTTACTCAATATGGATTATAAATATATACTTATTGAAAGTCACTCTTATGTTTAATCTATCCCTGGTTCGGAAAATACCTCTGTCCTGGAAAGAAGCAGTAAGAAAGCCAGCGGAACATTATTTTTTGAAAAAAGTACAGTTTACGATAATTTAATATGTTACACAATTAACAACACAAAACAAATTAGAAATGGCTTGGTAGCGATCACTCCTAGGAATTATTACCATCCATAAATTCCTTAATATTAATATTATACATATTATATTTTTATGAATATAAAAAATGTCTTGTTTCAGAAGACGGTCATTATCTGTTTAAAGTATCCGTCACCGACATCGCCACAAATAATCCGCGCTTGGTTGTATTACCTATATGTAAAATTCATAAGAAAAACAAAAAAACTAATTAAACACAATAATTAGCTTTTTTTTCTAGTATAGTATAAAAAACGCTAATCATATAGCTTTTTTTTATTGGATAGGGTCAAAAACGAGCACACAGTCCACCTGATGGTAAGCGGTTGCTGCGGCCCATAGACATCTACATCTGTCAAAATGTAGATGCGTTGTCGCCTGTGAGGACTAAGATGGAATGCCTCTTTTCCAGTAAAAAGGGTCTCCGGTTCTCTACACTCACCATACGAAACACAGCAGTGTTAAGCTGCTATTTTACGCTGGTATTCTGTGAGAGCGTGGTCCTTCCCCGGTCGAGCCGACCCATTCGTGCTACAACTATACTACTAATATAGCTGCAGCATGGCAAAAAAAAACTACGTAAAAATAACTAAAAAAATTATTTACGATATACAAAAGTCTAGCTAACATGCTTAAATGTTTTTACTAAATCACAAACATAAACGTATATAAAATCAATAATTATTCAAATTAAAAAATGCTCTATAAATATAAAAATATCCTGTAACATGATATTTTTTACAACAGGAAAATAAAAATTACCGCGAGGGAATTAACAAAAGCTAGTACATACACATATAAAATATATCCTAAAAATAAAAAAATAAAAAGAACTTAGATGTCTTAAAAAAAAAGAAGAAAAATCGGAACGCCTTTACTTGTCTACGATTATTACGAGATTTTTCGTTTTAACTCGTCAAATTAATCATTAACGCAACCAAACTTTTCGTTCACTTATGTGTAATCAACAGGACACTCGTACACGCCACAACTTCCGTGTCTGCACGTACGCGTCGCCGACCTTCTGCGACCACTGCGGCTCTCTTCTCTACGGCCTCCTCCATCAAGGCCTGAAATGTCAAGGTACAACGCCGGGGGATGGAAGAAGATACACGATTTCTCTTTTTCAGCTTCGTTTCGTTTACGCTTGGGCAGCTAAAGCTTATTTTTTATTCTGTCATTCTATTTTCAGCTATGGGTGGTGTTGTGTTTTTTAATCTGTCTTCTTATAGTGTTAAGGTTTATTTTGGTATAATCTATCTATTTGCTCGTGCAAATTGTTTATTCTCTTAGCCCAATTAAGGTTTAAAAAGGCACTTGCTTCTGTAAACACTTTGCTCGGGCAATTGTCTGCTATGATTTTTCAATTTTTACTGTTTTTGTATCTCATAATTTCTTTCGACATTTCTCTGTAACATATGAAGCTAAGCAAAAGCCGTAAGAGGTGTTTATTATTTATGAAAATTTATTATTGCCAAGGCCGCGTATACCCCGCACAAATGGAAAACCTGGACGTTCCTTGCACCGACGTTTTGTGACCATTGTGGTACGTTGCTTCACGGCCTCGCGCATCAAGGATATAAATGCGAAGGTATACGACTATTTTAACGGGTCTCAAAATTTTGTTAGCTGTCACAGCAAAAATCGTAGTTAATGAATCTGAGGAATGTCGTCATCTGAATGGGTCCCATGGAGCACTAAATGTGAACTATAATTGTGTAGTTAATAAAACATACTGAATGAATGAATGAATAATTTGAAAAAGATATTAACGTAATAACAATTTTAAGTCAATATTAATCGAGGCTGTACAATGCCGAGTAAAATAGTAAAATTAGATGGAAATTGTATGATTCCCCATAGCATGGAACGTCCAAGAACTAATGGATACTGTAAACAGGGTCCGGGCTTAATCCTGTTTTAAATTGAATTACTGATTCCAAACGCTCGTAGCTTATTGTTTCAATGCACAAAAATCAATACTTGTAAGTTTGTATCTGCATTTATGATTTCTGATTTATCTTTGCAACTGTATTTAATCTTTATTTTCAATATCTAACCGTATGCTTGCGTGAAAGCTATATGCATGCAGTCCCATATGCAATTTCATTACGTAGTTTGTGTATGTAGAGTTATTGCTTCCATCATTATGTTTCTTATTCTAGTGTGTGACAAGTTGCTTTGCACTTCTTTAGTTTTATGTGGGTTTGTGTTTTGTTTAATATTTGTCAAATGAGTAAATTACTGATATTTATATATTTTATCCACTACTCATTACAAGAATCAAAAATAATAATTTGGAAGCACCAACTATATCAACTTGTATATTGCAGTTATCAGCCTTGATAAATCCACTGCGGGAAAAGTACCTTTTTAGGATACATTGCAAGATTTGTGAACGCAGAATCGATACCCTCGTTATAAAAATGCTTATCCCCATCGCCAGTCTATGAAATGTGAGTTTAGCGTTTTTGAATGGACTTTTTGCTAGTGATCTAGGTAGGATGGACGTGCGGCTAAGGTAAGTATTTGGAGAAAAAGGCATATGTATTCGATTTAATTATATTTAAATACTTTTATTTTTATTTCAATCAGTTACTTCACAATCGCTCGATTTTAAAAATATATCTTTTTATATTTTAGATAGCAACTCTGTGACAAAAGCAACAAAAAGTATACACTTTTAAAACATAACTTTTTGATAAAATTATTTAAAAAAAAGAAATATGTAGACATGATCGATCATAATACTTTAGAAATTAACAATTACTAACAAAATATATGTTGTAGTTGTATGCATATTATTGATAATTCTGTTTATTTTCGTTTGTTGCTTAATGCTAGAATCAAAGACTTTACGAGGAACACCCAATAGTTTAGATTGATCTACAAACTAAAAATTTGATCGATTTACCTTGTTTGTAACGTGTAGTCACAATAATTATGTATAACAGAGAGAATTTCTAAGATCTATATTCAACAAAAACCTATGTTCTGCTTAGGTTGAATATAATGCTACTTTAATGTGTTTGATATTTGTATGGTTATTTGTTATCCAGATTTTTAAAGGAAATTTGTAATTTGTTGTTATTCTAATGAATTGCAAAGAGAGTTAAAAAAACAGGCAGCGCTTAATGGATACCAAGAGATCAATTTAAGCTCGATTTTTTTTTAGAGAATCTATATATCAATTTGTCACGTCTCTAACGCAATCATTTCCTTGGGATTTAAATTACTAAACATAATTTCATTGGTTTTAAATTCTAAATCACTTTCCATACGTTGCCAGTCTGCACCTATCTTTATCTATATTTCTATATTTATATTTTACGTTTCACTGAAATAACCTAATATGTATCTTGAGTTAATTGAAAATAAACAGAATACGTAAGAAAATGTAATATGTATTGCATGAATTTTAATTATAGTGTGTTGTACAAATTAGACGAAATAGGTACTCCATTGAATATAAATTTCCCGCGCTTGGGAATAATTAACAAGGTAAGGAATAGAACAATTTATTTCAAAGTTTTCTACCTAGAAACGGAGATTATTGAAAAGGTTTGTTCCAAATGATATAATATTGTTTCGTTACTAGATTATTCAAGTTTAATAATCATCATCGACATTACAGCCACTCATAAGTCCAAGGCTGAAAATAGGTCTCTTCTTAGAAATGCTACAAAACACGTACCTGTGGCACCCCCATCTATCGACTTCCTACATTTCTTAACAGGTCGCCGTGTTATGGCGGCGTATGAGAATATAGTACCCATAAATATTGTACATATCATCCTGTACATATCGTAGGAGATGACAGAGGGAAACTAAGTCAGTGGATGGACAATTGTTTAATAACAACTTAATAATAAAGTATTACAATTTATTAATTAAAAAATGCAGTTGCTATATTGTAAACAACCCCTAAAAGATAATTCAAGTTGAAAATTAAAGAATTTAAATATTTTGACTGAACACATAAAACCCGTAACTACACTAGCTGTGCGATTGTGTTACTCTTGGAATATTGGCGATGGAAATCACTCTAACTGCGTTATGTTTTTTTTTTATACATTATTTGAACACATTGTATAAGAATATAAAAAAGACATCGGCTTATAATCGATGCTGATACGTTTACATAATACAACGAGACCAAACGTCAAAACAAAGCCCACCAGGGTTACACAATCAAATCGCAGATCAATTGGATCGGGAACAGATGATCGTAAAGGAAGAAAGGATCTCGAATGGTTTCTTTGCGTTCTTTGTCACGTGTGTCTCTTCAATCCTGTAGATAGTCCTTGATAAGATAAGATGGCTCACTAACGAGGGAGACCTACGTTTAGCAATAGATACGTGATGAGCTGCATCGATGATGATAATATATAGAGATATCATAATTAGACTTAGAACAAAAACTTAGTGATTGTCTGTGATTATAAGGCTAAAGTATCATTCTTAAATCATAAATCGTAAAAGATGATTCAGGAAGGTCAGCGATGTGCTGAAATAATTTACCTATTTTGAAATCATTACCCATTTTAGTAAAACATATAATCATGAATAGAGTGGCGATTATGTCCTCAATTTAATAGACGATACAGATAATATCATTTTAATAACTTTAACGTCTTAAATTAAATGTTACATCAAAGGCACTTGAAGTACTTGGCCATCCACCAAAAAACGAATGCCCATTTGTGAAATATAAATATATTCGTATATTTTTGTTTAACATATTTAAATTTAAATTATTGTAAAAAATAGTTTTCTGATATCTTTGACTCTTTGGAATAAAATCGCCGATTGGCATTAATTACGTCCCTACAGCGTATGTAGCAATTTTTCGAACATGATTAGTAAAGTACATTTATTTATATTTATATGTTATTTACAAAATCAAACAATACATTAATATTTGGTCACCCAGCATGCGACATGAACGTACACAAGCGATGCGAGGAGTCGGTGCCAAATCTTTGCGGCTGCGATCACACGGAGCGGCGCGGACGCATCCAGCTCTCTGTGTCCTGCCAAGGCAACAAACTTACTGTCGAAGGTGAATTGTTTTAAATTAGATGTTAGTTTAGTTTCACTTAGGTATTTCTATCGGTCGAATAAACAGCAGTTTAAAGTGCGTGGTTTTTTTTATAAAAGAGGGGGCAAACGAGCATTCGGTTCATCTGATGGTAAGTGACTACCACCGCCTATCAACAACTGCAATATCAGGGGAACCAAGGGAATTGCAGATGCGTTGCCGGCCTTATAAAAAGGAGTAGGCTCTTTTCTTGAAGGTCCCTAAGTCGTATCGGTCCGGAAAATTCGCTGGTGTAAATCGATTCCACAAGGAAGTTGTGCAGGGAAGAAAACTATTTCAAAATATTCGTCCATATCAGATCGTAAATTGTTTATTCGACTCGGGCATCTCCTCAGTTACGGCGTCCTTGCCACGCTAAAGAAAAAATATCTTCTCGTGGCGCTGTCACTATCAGAACTCATCACTGCCATCCCTTACCCGTAACCACATCCCCGGTTGAAAACATCGCGCCTGGTGACGATGACCGGTAACAAAATTGATGACCTCGACGTGATCTGAACGCGCTTCTTTGCAACCTTTTCTTTGTTGAACTTTTATTGATTGATTCTCATATCTCTCTTTCGCTCCCAAATAATACATAGCCTTGTTTGTTAATGGAATTGTTTATTTGTTTAGTAAGGCAAAATATTAATTCTCCCGCCAGGCAAGGTAGTCTGTGGGTAAGCCTGGGTAGTGGTATGTAACTGGCAACGGTGGTTGTTTATTGAGTTATTATAACACTTCGCTAGCGGAAATCAGAACTTGGTTGCTTGTTTTATCTAGCTGATAAATAGGGTTCTCTCTTTGTAATAAATAGATCATTTGGCACAATTTGAAATGTCTATTCAGCCTTTGAAAGACCAAAGTGATATAAAGTAAAAAAAGTAAGGTTGCAGCCTATTTACGTCCCACTGCTGGGCACAGGCCTCCTCTCATTTCTGAGAGGGTTTTAGAGCAAGGAAATGTCCGCCGCGCTGCCCCAATGCGTGTTGTCGAACTTCACATGTCTTCCAAATATTTTGATTTCTTATTTCTCAGACATGCAGGTTTCCTCACGATGTTTTCCTTCACCGCCGAGCACGTGGTAAATCAGCACTTAAAATTGCAATTAACAATTTCATTGGTGCCGGCGGGGATAGAACCCGGGTTGCTCGAGTACTGTGAAGCTTACAGCGAGCGCTAACCATCTGAGCTACCACGGCTCTCACGGTTTTCAAAGTGATATGAAAAGTAATAAAAATATATATTCTAAACAGTGAAGCAAGGCCGCAATCTGATCCCGATGGACCCTAACGGACTCTCGGACCCCTACGTGAAGTTGAAGCTGATCCCCGACTCGGACAACGTTAAGAAAAAAACCAAGACCATCCGAAGCACACTCAACCCCGTATGGAACGAGACGATAACCTTCGACCTCAAGCCAGAGGACAAAGACCGAAGGTTACTTATTGAGGTAATTAATATTTTTTTTATTTATTGTCTCTCTATACACATTCTTCATAATACGTATGTTTTTTTTATCGGAGGGAAACATGAGCAGAAAAATCTACCAGATGGCCAACCGTGAACACCCTAATATGAAACAATTAATAATAGGTTGTTATTTAAATGGTTAGCACAGTATTCATGTTTTTGTCAGCAGAGAAATGTAATCTAGCAGCAGAGATAGATAATTGGTCAGCAAACCATGCAAAACATTATTAAATCAATCAGCAATTTTTGACATTCTGGACGGCTGTAATTTTTTTTTGTATAGCTTATTAATTATACTAGCTGTTCCTCGCGAATCGCGACTTCGCCCGCGCGTAATTTATTACGTTTGGATTTCGTGGGTGTTTAATTTTTTGCCCGGAACCCTAATTCTTTTTCTAAAATAAAAGTAGCCTAAGTTACTTCTTATAACATCAGTATCAGCTATCTGCCAGTGAATGTCCGATCAAAATCGGGTCAGCCGTTTCGGAGTCGGAGTGATCGTGTTTTTGTTATAACTACCGTATATACTTTCATATGCATATAGTAAAAAGCTGTTATTTCTTCCTTCTTTTTTTTCATTTCCTTCTTTTTTTAATTTTTTTTTAAATGTTACCCCCACACTAGGATTTTCTCCTGTGTCGTGGAGGCAGTTTACAAACATAAATTGCACAAGGACAAACATCCAGACACGGAACAATTATTTGTAGGCCATACAAATACTTGTTCCGTGCGGGATTCGAACCCGCGGCCCCCAGCGCAACAACTGATTGCTAAGCCACTGCGCCACGGAGCCGTCGACATTACAAACAGACACTTCAATTTTATTTATTTGTATAGATAAGCTACAATAAGCGACTCATGTTTATAAAATTTTGATAAGCACTTAGAGGGTAAGCAACTAATCAAAATGTACGCGGCTTGGACCACCCCAGCCGCACCTTAACCTACTGTCGCTTATATTACTTGATAGGTATTTCCGTATTTTTACAAATTTTACAGTACACCTAAATTTAACCAACTACTGCTGGCCGCACCTAATTCTAGCCGGCTGGAACTAAGGTGCAGTTACACTTAGGCTTTTAGCCGTAACATATTTCTACAAAGGACAATGTTCAATCTCGCCTAAGAACCGTACAGTACACCTAAATTTTTCTGCTTATAGATATATTTTCTTTGCTAACCAATCGTGAATCTTGCTGATTAATTAAGTATTTTGCGGATTGACTGTTCATTAGGCAAACTTATATTATTGTAAGCTGCCTATTTATGATTAAATTACTGAACATTATCAAGATTATTTGCAAAACAAGAATTGACGAATGTTTTTTTATGAATGAATGTTAACCAAATGATTTGAATGTTGTTTGAGGCTAACCAAATTTTATCACGGCTTAAAATTTAATTACTTCTCTTAAAAAATATACGTGGTAGTGCAGCTAAATTATAGTAGTACCTATAGTTGTAGCACGAATGGGTCGGCTCGACCGGGGAAGGACCACGTTCTCACAGAATACCAGCATAAATAGCGTCTTAACACTGCTGTGTTTCGTATGCTGAGTGTAGAGAAATGTAGACCGTTTTTACTGGAAAAGAGGCATTCCATCTTAGTTCTCAGGGGTGACAACGCATCTGCATCTTGATTCTTTATTGAGGATAGATGTAGATGTATCTGCAAATGTTAGCACCCAACCATCTTCTCGGTGGAAATTAGGATGTTTTTTTTTTAATTTCAATAGCCTCGCGAATCATCCTTGGCAGGAATCGGTGTTCTTTTAAAGAGTTCGAGAATTTATGGTTTATCAAATCTGATGTAATGGTTGGTACGATCCTGAACGTGTTGACATACTGCAGACTTATCGGAGCGAAGCGATGTGAAGCACTGATGACCAAGCGGCAAGACTTCAAGATAATGTAAGCTTGTTCTGCGTAGGTCAGATTAAACATTAATATTTAATAGTTGAAGGTAGTCTTCGTTAACTATGACATCAGGACGTCAAAAACCTCAGTCCACCTGCGATCATTGGTGCTGCAAAGCGCCCAAAACGTCGGGAATTGAAAAAAATTATATTAAACGTGATAAGATACCTGAAATTAGAATTATTTAATATTTTGTAGATATTATATCTCAAGAAGACGGACAAAGACTTTACTTTTATACTTAGTAAAGGCAGAAAGGGCACGTTGTTGCTTATTTCAATAATTATTTTTAACTTAACTTTTCTTCGGACAATAGTCGATTATAATTTTTGACTCTCTGGCTTACGCACACTAAAACAGTATGCATGTGCACCTACACTACATGTAAAAACAACCCGCCATCGTGAAGTAAAAACAATATACTATCCATCATAAAGATAAAATTGTTTTTTGAAGTTGGTGTCATTTATATTGCACAGTAGCTGCGTAATACGGCGACGATTCTAGATGATAATATTCATCGCTCGCTTCGCTATGTGTAAATTAAACTTTAGTAATAATTGGTTATATGTTATTTAAGTAACAGTATCCATCACCCCATTCGATTTTTTATTAAATTAATATTAAAGATGTTCAAAATTAATTAGCCAAGATCCGAATAAAAATAAGAAAAAATGATGTGACTTACCTAATTTGAAGAGCTGAGTCAGCTGCTTAGCGATCAGCTACCGCAGAGTCTACTTCACCTGAGAATGCCTCTTTTAGAGGCGAAACACGTGTTGTACGACGGTGGTGTGTCTTTTCTAATGTAGTGGTGTTGGGAGTAGTGATGACGGGGATAGTGCACGCAATTGAGGGAGGGCGGGAGGTGCTCTTCATACCAGGTAAGACACACATTATTTTATTTTATCACGCGGATCTTAGTTAATTAATTTTTAACATCTATACAAATAAATAAAATTGAAGTGTCTGTTTGTAATGTCAAAATTACAGCGTCTTACTAAATTCTGAGGTAACACACAAAAAAAATACAGTCGGATTGAGCACCTCCTTCTTTTTTGAAGTCGATTGAAAAGTGTCCTGTGTGACCTCTGTTCAAGCGTGATTGAAGGACTAACATCTGAATAAACAAACAAACTTTCAAATTTTTAATATTAATTTTATAATAAGGATTCTAATGACGTCACATCGAGAGTTGCTTCGTTTAAAATTTGAATAACACACCGTCATGTTCTAGCTATGGGATTGGGATCGCACCTCCCGAAACGACTTCATGGGCTCTTTATCATTCGGGATCTCCGAAGTAATGAAAGCTCCGGCCGAAGGATGGTTCAAGCTCCTGACACAAGAGGAGGGAGAGTTCTACAACGTGCCGGTGCCCGAAGAGGGCGCCGATCTCGCTCAACTGAAGACCCAAATGAAGGTAAACCAATATTGTAATAATTATTTCTGATGTCTGATTCTGGACATTTTCGACATCTTTATCATCTTTTAGGTAATTACGCAGATAAAATTTTATAATGCTGTACTTCATAATAATGAGACAAACTCAAAATATTTTTATTCAATAATTGGCCTTTACAAAGCACTTTTTGAAAGAAAAGAAAACAACGTAATCGCTTCAATAAGTCCGTGACTCCGGGAGACCTTGTGAGAAGGAGCGACAAGAAATTACCAAGTAGATATTTTTTCTCCCAGCCGTTCGTTTTATCTCTTGGGTGTCGTATGAGGCGACTTATCAAAAGGACAAGATCTTATGGCATGCGAAACGTGACGATATGACAACTTCTTCTTCCTACCAGATATAAAATGCCCGGACTGGTGACGAGAAGTAGCGTAAAAGAAGCTAGACGTCTGCCGAATGTGCTGATTAAGGCAATTTCTCTATTCTTTGGGAGGTTATTGATAATTGTGGTTTTGTGCTGGCTTTCCTAAAATCCTTATTTAGCATCAAATATGCTAGTCGGTAAAACATGCAGTTGACATAATATTGTAACATTAAATAGCAATTATTGTAATGGGAAAAGCATGTGTTATGTCTAAATTTTAGTTATATTAATTTTAAAAATTTTAATGTAATATTTAATAATTTTTAATTATACAGAGTTATTAAGCAATATCCGGCCAAATTTGCAGAGAAAATTCAGAATAACTAATATAGGCAAATGGTGAAGAAAAATTCCATTCAATTTGGGATAATTTCAAGTAAAAGTAGAAACCTGATTTACTCATATTTTCAAAGTCTGCAACAACGGTATACCATTATTTATATAATTGAACATAAGTTTAAAATTTGGCTACTCTGAAAAATAACCCTGTATATAAATAAGCGCTTGTTAGTGATCGTGTAACTTCTGAAAGCTTCACCGATTGAGGTCATATTCACACAATATAATAATAATAATAATAATGTGTTTTATGCACGCTTGACAAAAGTGCTTAACAGTCTTTTGTCTTTAATTAAACAAAAAAAAAATAAAAAAATCTTTACATAAAAATAACTTAAAATAGTAAAGAATTACACAAAAAATTTAAGAAAAAAACATTCAACACTTTTTAATAACTTTTCAGTTAATTCATAGTTAATCGTTTTGAGATATTTATCTATATATTTTTTTCAAACGAATTTGCTGCATTTGGATATATATAAGATCTTATTTAAACGGTTATATAGTAATGGTCCTAGGTACGGAAAAAAAATATTTGCTATGTTTGTCGAGACGAAGGTTCATAGCTATGATAGGTGTATTTGCCGATAGGTAACCACAGGTGTCATCCTTAAGAAAAATTATATACCTATTTTTATAACGCCCCATATACTAAACTATTATACAAACTATTATAAACATATATAAAAACCAAACTAAATAACACCCGCATGGGCTTTGCAGGCAACCAGTGTTGCCGCGCGTAGACCTCAACCACCACCTGATAGAGAAGTGCCGCACAATATGGCGGCTGCTGACGTTATTCGAGCCTCGGACTTCAACTTCCTCATGGTCCTCGGGAAGGGCTCTTTTGGCAAGGTAATTTAGATATATTTTTTACCAATTATAAGCCAATGCTAGACTTTTTTCCTACCCGATAGTAAGTAGTGGATTAAGCTGAACGCACATTTGTCCGCGCCGCACGTGCCGTACGCGCCGTACGCACCGAATTTTACTGATGTCTATGATGATGAACGATTTGTTTAGATATTTGCATTTAACATACAATAAATTTCAAAAATTGTTACATTAAAACCATATATTTCTATGGAAAACTCAAGATTTAGAAGGCCAATTGAACCAGAGGAAAGACTTGTTGGATGTTTGAGGTAAGTATTTTTATTGATAATGAGATGTTCCCCGTGACTTCGCCCACGGTTTTAATTTTGTTGCGCGGAACCCTCATTTTTTTCTAAAATATAGGTAGCCTAATTTACTCCTTATAACATCAACTATCTGCCAGTGAAAGTCCCATCCAAATCCATCCAAAGGTCCCGCCGTTGCGGAGATTAGCCGGAACAAACAGACAGACAGGCAGACAAAAATTTTAAAATTTTTGTTTTTGTTATAAGTACAGTATATACTTTCATATACATTTAGTAAAAAGCTGTTATTTTGATATTACAAACAGACACTCCAATTTTATTTATTTGTATAGATTAAATAATATGATTTTTTTAATTTATTTACATAATTTATCATTACACATATTACATATTCATTTCACGTTTATCGGAATTTCAATTACTTTGCAGCATTTTTCTGCCAATCTATAACCGCAGTGAACACTTATCACTTAAAAAATATAATTCGAAACAAAAGTCGAAACCACCAGTTTTAGTGGAAAATCCACTAAGTTGGCAACATTAGACAACACTGAGTATCAGCACGCGTCGCATCATATGACGTCATCAGCATTCGTCTTTCGATATCGTATACCACATTTTATAAAATTCGGCACGTACGGTGCGGGTGTAATGTGCGACGTTTCATATGATTTCATACAACGAATTCTAAAATTCGGCGCGTACGGCGCGGACAAATGTGCTTTCAGCTTTAGCCGAAGAAGGTAAAATGCACTGAGTTAGCTTAATAAAAGCCTATTCACTATTGCTTTGAAGACAGATTGTAATCGGACGAAAAGATTAAGTTAATCCACTACATTCCTATACGCGTTGCAAACGACAAGCAAATCGTTTGAACCGAAAGCGTGGAATATCCACAACAAAGGGATACAGACCGGTCGAGCATTTTGTTGTTCGCTGGCGAAAGGGAGTGAGAGGAATTATGTCATGCAATTTAATTTTTTCTTATGTATTCATATAATTTTTTCTTTTTTCTACAAAAAATCTACAATTTAGGAGATTCTTTATTCGCGTTGACTTTCGATTTATCTTTAATCTAAACGTTGGAGGTATTTCAACAAGACATAATATTACACACATAAATTTAAAGACTATAATGATGATGAATGAACGACTTAATCAAAATATTAGATAAACGGTAGAATAACGGTAGATTATGTGGTAGGACTCCTTTTCTAACTACGAGATCTAGATAGGTATTACGTATTACTACCGCCAAAAAGCAGTACGTGCACTGATGTGGGTTCTCCGGTCTTACGGTATAGAGAGCCAGTATAATAATATGTAGTACGTGAGGCATTCCGTTTTAGTCTTTAGAAGTGACTATGCTGTTGTTTCCTTTGTTTGAAGTTGGTTGCACGCATCCATGAGCTGCTGTAGCCACTTGCCATCAGGTTTACTGTAAGTTCTCAAGAGTGATAATGCAACTACATTTTGTTTCTTAATCGAGGAATAATGTAAATGTCTATAGGCCACAGAATCCACTTCCCATCAGGTTGACTGTGTGCTCGTTTGCCACCCTTATATTATTCTATAAAAATACATGTTTTAATCTTCTTATAAAAAATGTTACAGGTATTGCTCGCAGAGCGTCGCGGCACCGACGAATTGTATGCAATCAAGATCTTAAAGAAGGATATCATCATCCAAGATGATGACGTGGAGTGCACGATGGTAGAAAAGCGGGTGCTGGCGCTCAGCAGTAAGCCACCGTTCCTCGTTCAGCTGCACTCTTGCTTCCAGACTATGGTAAGATCTTTTGCCAGAGCCGGATTAATCTACAGGCAAAGTAGGCCTGAGAAAAATACGTTCTTACGTATATAAATCCTAAAAAGTAAATGTCGTGCGTCGTGCTTAAAAAATTGGTCTCCCAGACTTGCTTGTCAATGTTAGAGGCCGACATGACTTAAACCCACTCTGATACTAATATAAATAAATAAATAGTTCAGTCAATAAGTGCTACCCATTGTTTTGTTCCAGTTTCTTTATTTTTATACTTGGCTGAAACGTCCACTTGGCATTCCACAATTTATACTTTACTTGCAATTATCTATACCTTATGTCGGTCAAAATGAATGCCGTCCATTGTTTTGTTGAAGTTTCTTTATTTATACTTGGCTGAAACGTCCACTTGGCATTCCACAGTTTATACTTTACTTTCAATTATCTATACCTTATGTCGGTCTAAATGAATGTCGTCCATTGTTTTGTTGAAGTTTCTTTATTTATACTTGGCTGAAACGACCACTAGGCGTTCTACAATTTATACTTTTCTTTTTAATTATCTGTACCTTATATCTGTCTGAATAAATGCCGCTCATTTTTGTGATCCAGTTTCTTTGATTACAGTTGGAAGTTACGGCCACTTACAATGACAAGTGCATTAGTCGTACTTAACACTTTAACGCCACAAATAAGTTTTGAAATTTTTTTCGAGTATCAATATTAATCGATATATTATTTAACAATTTATTAAATTATTTTATTATTAAATTATTTTATTAAATATCGTTGACAGGATCGCCTGTACTTCGTAATGGAGTACGTGAACGGTGGAGATTTGATGTTCCAAATACAACAGTGCGGCAAATTCAAGGAACCAGTTGCCGTGTAAGTATACAGTTATTTATAAGTGACGCTCTCGTAATTCCTACACTACCCGTACGGTTAAATAATGGAATTGAAAATGGCGTCGCCTCTATTCACCTCCCGCTCGCACGCTGTCGCTATCACACCTGCCGGTAGTCTGCAAAAAAATAGGTAGCGTTATATACAATACAATACAATAACTTTATTTCAGGCATCAAGGACTTAAAAAGTAAGAACATTGGCCCATAGCAATATATACCTTAACCTAAAAATATATATAAAATATATTTAGGGAACTTTTTTCTTTGGCGCGTCCCTGTATCGGCGAAACACTACCCCAGAGGGCCAGAAATCGGAAGCGAGGAATGTCTCTTTATGTTTTGCAGGAACCTGGAGTACGTAGGATTTGAAGTTCGTTGACCTATTAGACTCCAGACGCTGCAAATGTAAAGAGATCGGATCCTCAATGCGGCATCGGCTTCGTTCTTCCACGAAGCGCAGGACGTCTTCTCCCGACGTACTTTTGTCCAAATGCGTTTTTCATACTTTCTATAACTTCAGTCCATCTTGTCATTGGAATCAATAATAACAAAAAACTAGAAAGAGTGAGGTTTCGCTAATTTGTAAGTTCGAGAGTTTCTTCATAATTATTGTTGATTTTGTTTGTTAATATGTTTGCTATTGAATCATGACGATTCAATAATTTTCGTTTGTCCGTCTATCCGAGCTAATCTACGGAATGGCCGAACCCATTGTGATAAAACTTCACGAACAAATAGAGAGTAATACCAGGAGTAATCCAGACTAAATTTTATAGAGAGATAAGGTAAAATAAATGGTCTTTAATGATTATTATAAGTCTAAACAACGCCACATTAATAGATCCCACCCAGCCGAAGCCGGAGTAGGTCCCTAGTTATAAATGTTATTTTATAATTAATGTAGCAACTTGCGTATACAATTATTTTCAAATATTTTCCCATTGATATGAAATTTCCAATTAACCAAATAATATAACGTTATAACGATATACTGTTATTAGCGGATTTTCGTTATTAGTATTGTGCATGTTGACGGTACGTGCTCGATGAGCCTCCATTTCTAATCCCATTCTTTATCCGTATGGACTGTATTATTCATTCATTTATTTATTACAGCAAATCAAATGTCCACTGCTGAACATAGACTTTTCCCATGGATTGCCTCATAGGGCCATAATTGCCAAGTTTAGCAGGCGGGTTGGCAATCACACATTTTTATTTGGTTGTTGTTTGGTTAGGCGTTGCTGCCCATTTTTTGTTTATTTTTCTCTCTGTCGCCTCGTTTGATACCCATGGGACGATATGGAGCTTTAGATATTCTTGCACAGCCCCTACAAGAGGCCTTTATATTATACTTGACCATATTGCTAATGGGTACCACCATTATTACCATATTTTATCGTGTACTCCTCAATCTATTTTTCGTCTCAAGCTTCTAAAAATTAAAAAAAAAACCGTCAGGGCTCTCCGGTTCTCAACACTATCTTAACGTGGTAGAGCCATGCTGCAGCTATATTAAATGTATAGTTGTAGCACGAATGGGTCGGCTCGACCGGGGAAGGACCACGCTCTCACAGAATACCAACGTCAAATAGCAGCTTAACACTGCTGTGTTTCGTAAGGTGAGCGTAGAGAACCGGAGACCCTTTTTACTGGAGAAGAGGCATTCCATCTTAGTCCTCACGGGTGACAACGCTTCTGCATTTTGATTCTTTATTAAGGATAGACGTAGATGTCTATGGGTCACAGCAACCACTTACCATCAGGTGGACTGTGTGTTCGTTTGTCACCATATCCTATAAAAAAAACTCCATACGAAACAACAGGCTTTAGCTGTTATTCTACTATATAAATAATTTAGAAACTAAGATGGCGTCTACACAATCAAAAAGTTATGGACCCCATAGCGATAATCGTAACGCTGATTTTCAATACACGATAATTGAAACCATTCTTAATAAATTACTAATTTACTACAGATTGTGTCAATTACCCAATTTCAATTAATTTCAGTTTCTATGCAGCGGAGATTGCCATTGGTCTATTTTTCCTCCACTCCCGCGGCATCGTGTACCGTGACTTGAAACTGGATAATGTGCTCCTCGATCAGGACGGCCATATTAAAATCGCCGACTTCGGTATGTGCAAAGAGGGCATCACCGGCGACAAGACCACGAAGACCTTCTGCGGTACACCCGATTATATAGCACCAGAGATCATTTTATACCAGCCGTATGGAAAATCGGTGGACTGGTGGGCGTATGGGGTGCTGTTGTATGAAATGCTGGTGGGGCAGCCGCCATTCGATGGAGAAGACGAGGAGGAACTTTTCGCAGCGATCACCGACAACAGCGTCTCCTATCCGAAGACTTTGAGCAAGGTAAGACTACTTTCATTTTCAAAATTCCACTGTACCCAAACTAACTTTAGACTCCGTGCTACACAACAGATCCCATCCACAGAGATCGTGATACTTGGCAATTTTAACGCCCACCACGCCGAATGGCTCAGTTCACGTTTAACCGATCGTGCGGGGAGATCTGTTTATTACTTTTGCCTTGGCATATGGTCTGACACAACTCGTTACTTCGCCTACGCGGATTCCAGATGTGGAGGATCATGCACCTCCCCTGTTGGACCTTCTGCTGACCTCTCATCCCGACGGATATAAGGTTTCTGTCGACGTCCGTCTCGGCCCTACGGACCATTGTCTGATCCGGAGTGTGGTGCCACTCACGCTCCCCTCGCGGTTGCGTTCTGCAAGCTACCGCCGTGTTTGACATTACAGGTCGGCGGATTGGGACAGAATGAGTTCTTTCTTTGCATCCTACCCATGGGGGTTGATTTGCTTATCGCCAGATGATCCCAGGGATGTTGCTCATTCTGTCACTGATGTGATGCTTCTGGGAATGTAATATATATATTCCATCATCTGTGGTACCAATCGTAAGCAGATCTCAGCCTTGGTTTGATCGCTCCTGTAAGATTGTATTACGCAGTAAGCAGGAGTGTTTTCAAGCCTGGACTGATGCTTCAGTGGCTCGGGATATAAACACCAGCATCCTTAAAAAGAAGTATAACTTTGCCTCCAGGTCCTTCAAAAGAGTTATTGCCAAGGCAAAGTATAAGCCTATTGGCAGAATTGGCAAGAAATTAGTTCACCTTCCCTACGAACACGGGCATTCTTGTCTCTCGCCAAGCCTGTCCAAGGAAACTTCTGTAAGCCATCATTTCCATCTCCGCACAAGGGGACAAATCACTGGAGAGCCAACATTCTAGGCTCACTTTTTGCGTCCAACTCGACTATCGATGACGGGCGAACACACCGCCGACCATCCCGTGGTATGAGTGCTCTATGCCTGATGTGCGATTTTTGAGACAAATTGAGTTGGTCTGACGGAATCCCCCAATTGTGATGAGGATGTGCGCTCCAGAGTTGGCACCGGTTCTAACGTGTCTTTTCCGGTACTCCTACTCCCTAGGCGTTGTCCTAAATTCATGGAAGACAGTCGTGCACCCGATCCCTAAAACATCTGATCCGTTCGTCCGAGAATTCGAGCGAGGCCCATCGCTATTTCCTTCCTGTTCTCGAAAATAATGGAATTCATTATTAACTGCCAACTCATACGGTATCTTGTGGAGCACCAACTGATTAGTGACCGCTAGTACGGTTTTCATCGGGGTCGCCCAGCTGGTGATCTTCTTGTTTACCTGACACACCAATGGGCGCAGGCTTTGGCGGTTAGTGAAATGATGGTTGTTGAATGGTTAGTTAATTAAATGATTTTTAATTTTTAATTTTAATTAATGATCTTCCAAACGTCACTGACCACGAAACTGTTCAGTTTGCGGATGATACTACTGTAATTATTAAGTGTAAGGATAGAAAATTCAATGAAAATGAAATATCTATTCCACTAGTCAAAATCTTCAGATGCCTCAAAATAACAATTTACTAGTGGTAAATTTAAAATTTTGTATAAACGACTTCAATATGAATATAATTTTTTGATTTTTTAAAAACCTCACTACCGATTTCGATAAAATTTAAATAGTACCACCTGGGAAGTATACCCTTTGAAACAAAACAAAAAAAAGAATTTGCCAAATCGGCTCAGGCGTTTTTTTTTTTCTTTATTTTACTAAACAAATCGACACAACCATACAGTAAAACATATTCCCACAAAACTGTTTACACAGTTTGTCTGTGGAATCCAGAGTCTCACAATAATACTTAAAGGATAGCTAGCTATAGTAAATTTTTTTGCTTAATTACATAATGATAGAAAGTGTCTATAGACCATCTTTTTCAATACATTTTTCTTAGTCTCGTGGCGAATATCTTTGGGCAGTCTATTCAGAATATACGGTATTTGTTTCTTTAATGTTCTATCTCCAAAGTAGTTTTTTATTCTAGGTACTTCGAACTTACCCTCGGACATCGACCGGGTACCTTGATTCTGTTTTACAATCGTCAAGTTTAGCTTTTGACCGTCATGGTTATTTATAGCCTATAGATATTTATGTTTTAACTAACCGTTACAATCTTACAAATTTTAATTAATTGAGAGTAATTACCTTTGCAATTAGCTTTAGTTTTTTTGTTTACGAGTAATTTTAAAAATCTAATCTGAAGAGATTCCAGGTTTTCAATATTACTTTTGAATGTAACAACATAACTGTCAAGAGCATAACTGAGAATAGAATCTATAAGTGAGAAATACAGTGTTTTCAATGTAGTAACTGGTATTTTAAAATTTAAGTGGTAGAATTTACTCAGAAGAAATCTTAATTTATTACATATGAAATCCACATGACATGACCATGAAAATACTGAATCCACAACAACACCAAGATACGTCACGCGATCTACCCTTTCAATAGGATTACATTTACAATTAAATAGGTTATCATGAATGCAAGAATAACTATGAGTATACATAAACGGAGGTGAATTTAAAGGCTTTAAGTAAGGGGAGTGTATGATAAGTAATTTAGTTTTTTCTGAATTCAAAATGATACCATTGTCGTGCGACCACCCAACGACCGCATCTATATCATGCTGCACTTGGCAACACGTCTCAGCGAGATCGGTCCCGACGCGTAATGTACATAAATCATCCGCGAACATATAAGCCGAGCAGTGGTGGAGCACTCCACGTAGACTATTTAGGTGTAATAAGTAGGAGATCGGCCCAGTCCCTGATCCCTGCGGAACTCCGCATTCGACATCGGTCTCCTCGCTGAACGTGTTTACCTAAGGTAGGGGACCTTAGGTAATCGCGGAACCATTGGTAAATCATAAAAACTAAGGCTACAAATCTTTTATCTTCTAAATATGAATTAATCTCATCTGTAAATTTTGATAACAGTGTGTTTGTACTTTTACCCTTTTGGAAGCCATATTGGCATTCATTTAATATTTTATTCTTTTGTAGATAACTTTCCAGTTGATTTACTAAACATTTTTCAATAATTTTGTCAATACTAGATAAAACAACTATAGGTCTATAATTAGTAAAAACTTTACGGTCACCTTTTTATGGATGGGACGAATGATGGTTTCTTTTAATTTTGATGGAAAGAACAATGGCAGACTTTCATACATAAAATTAGTTGAGAAGAAATGGTAGCGTCTATATACCAAAAATATCTTAAAATGTTAAGCCCATGAAGCTAATACAAAGGGGAGACGGCATAAGCAACTGTGCACTGTGATTCTAAGTAGGTCCTGACGTCATCATAGTGGGCGTGGCTTTAGTTAGTATACTGTCAGCATTCGTCCTGTGCGCTTATGTGTTGAAAAAATCGCAAATCGGTGTATTTTCGTAGTATTAAGAAGAAAAGGATGAAGTGTTGTGTTTTATTGTGTAAAAACTACTCAGATAGACGCTCTGATGTTATGGATGGCATCACATTTCATTTGTAAATATTTTTACACCTAATTTATTAAAATAGTTCTAGAAAAATCTGTTTGTGTCGGCTGTCAAATATAATTAAATATATTCGACACTAGATGGCGACCCTTTGTGTCATGTGAACTAAAAATATAAAGGTCCGTAGAGCTCAGTATTGGTAAAATAATCATACGAAAGTGCTGAAATTTGTTTTGCATTCAGACATAAAGAAATTTTAATCGCAAAATATTATTTTTATAGTTTATAATCATTTTGAGAACAGGCCATATTCTCGTCAAGTAAACCTCATAAAAATGACGAAAAGACAGGGGCCTAATTAGAATTCAATTATTTTTCCCAGTAATCCAACTTTTAATATTAAATGCAGGAAATTGTACTTAGGCTGATTTTTACGAAATGTTTAAGTTATATTTAAGTGACATTCTATATGCAAAGAATCACTTAAATACAAATTAATGTTGATTGGCATTCAAAAAGTGCATTCGGATGCCTAATTTGAAATAAAATATTTATATTTTAATTGATTTGTAAATAAAATTATATTAATTATAATAATTTGTCTATTATTTGTTCTCCCTCAGAGATATTAAGTAGTATAACCCACACATAAATAATAGTCCAGCCGTTACTGCGTGAAAAAATTACACATACTTAGTGTGGAATAAGCTCAAGGAGACAGAAAGAACACACAAAATTTCGCCTTTATAATATTAGTGAGATAAGTAGGATATTTAGTTCCAAATTAAATATCCTACTTAATATTGAACATAGAATATTTAGTTTCAAAGAGACTTTATTTTATGGATAAAATAAATATTTCTTGAAGGTTGACTTTCACGAAATGATAAACATATTTAAGTGATTCTTTGCATATAGAATGTCACTTAAATATAACTTAAACATTTCGTAAAAATCAGCCAAGTACAATTTCCTTTATTTTAATATTGAATGTTGTATTACTGGGTAAAATAATTGAATTCTAATGGCGGCCCTGTCTTTTTGTTATTTTTTATGAGGTTTACTTGACGATAGATGGCGGCCTGTTCCCAAAATTATTATGAAAACTATAAAAATATTATTGTGGCGATTAAAATTTCTTTGTCTGAATGTATTTGCTTCATGAGATAGACGCTCCGATGCTATGGATGGCATCACATTTCATTTGTAAGTAATTACACCTAATTTGTTAAAATAGTTCTAGAAAAATCTCTTTGCGTCGACTTTCAAATATAATTAAATATATTCTACACTAGATGGCGACACTTTGTGTACTGTGAAATAAAAATATAAAGGTACGTAGAGCTCAGTAATGATAAAATAATCATACGAAGGTGCTGAAATTTGTTTTGCATTCAGACAAAGAAATTTTAATCGCCAAAATATTATTTTTATAGTTTATAACATTTTGTGGACATGCCACCATCTACCGTCAAGGTAGCTAAGCTACATTGCAACATCGATA